GCACCCACCACATACATACATACATACATACATACATACATACATACATACATACATACATACATACATACATACATACATACATACATACAAACAAACAAACAAACAAACAAACAAACTTTTAACTCTGAGTAATTTGGTGGTGGCGCTGCGGGTTAAACTGCTGAAGCCTCTGTGCTGCAAGGTCAGAAGACCTGCAATCGTAAGATCGAATCCATGTGACGGAGTGAGCCCCCGCCGCTTGTCCCAGCTCCTGCCAACCTAGCGGTTCAAAAGCATGCAAAAATGCAAGTAGATAAATAGGTACCACCTCGGTGGGAAGGTAAACAGCGTTCCATGTCTAGTCATGCTGGCCAGGTGACCACGGAGGATTGTCTGCGGACAAACGCTAGCTCTATGGTTTGGAAACTGAGATGAGCACCGCCGCCTAGAGTTGGACATGACTGGACAAAATTGTCAAGGGAACCTTTAATTTAATATAAAACTACTACTTCATGTTTTAGCATACATTTCATCAGCCTCAATATTAAAAGGAAGCTCAGTTCAGTAAACTCTTAAGTTTTAAAGGTTAGCAAAATCAGTCTCAACATTATACTACAATCCATATAAACAACACAATAACATACAGTGTGTAATTTTAATCAGCCCTGATCTTAGCTACATTGTCTCATTTCTGTTGTTAGTGAGGGAGCATCATACTCCTCTCTCTTCTGATGATAAGAAATTATCTTGATAGTATTATTAGGAACACTGATTTTCTTGTAAACTCTGTGTAATTTGCACAAACTGTTTCTGCACAAAACAACTATTGTTTCCCTATGAGAAATAAAGATATCTCACACACACAGAAAGCACGAAAAAATTGGCTGATCATTTTGAAAAATTTATTATTTATTTTATTTAAAATATTTTAATCCTGTCTTTCTCCTAAAAAAGGACCCAATGTGGCTTACATAATTAAAAAGACAATACTAAAAGCTAAAAAAGTATAGTATTGAAATATTTTAAAAAGAATTAAATAAACATTAAAACTATTAGGTAAAAGCATTGCTTAAACAGATTTAGAGGCAACAAAAATACAAAACATCTCATTTTAAAACAGCCATTTTTAGGCAGTCACGAAAGAAAAGCCTGCCTGAAGAGAAATATCTTTGCTTTGTTTGCGGGAGGACAGCAAAGATGAGGCCAGCACACACACACACAAACATGCATGCACGCACATACATCCTGCTTCTAATAGTTAAAAGTCCACCCAATAAATCAGTAGCCATTGTCATCTTGTTCTATTTGTGTTAAAGCAAAATACGCATGGTTTTGCTTTATCTGTGCAAGCAATGTTCTCACTCTATTTCTTTGTCAGCAGTGCCCCCCCAAAAAATACCCGAGTGTCCTGCAGAGTAAGGGAGCATTTTGCATTTCTTCAGTCTTATCCACGAGAACAAGACAGGAGAGTATTTATGTACATCCTTGTTGCATTTTTGTAGATCTTGCACTGAACATAAGCTAGATGGCCTTCAAGATCCCTTCCAAAGCTACACAATTCTTCCCTCCTCCACAAACAAGATAACAAGGAAGGAAGGAGAATAGATTGACTGTATTGAGCGTATGGACTGTAAGTTTTCAAATATAAGCACACAGATTGGTCAAAGACTCCAACCATGGAAGCTAGTCTGAAGTCTTGCTTAAGCTAAACATGTCTGATTGTAGCCAGTGTTCTAGTGGGAAGTCACTGGGGAATGCTATAGCATTCCACCTTGAATTCTGCGAAGAAAAGCAGGATGTACTGTATTTTTCCATGTACAGTGGTGCCTCGCTTAACGAGTGCACCGTATAGCGATGTTTCCGTATAGCGATCCCTTTTTCGGGATCGCTATACGGAAACATACCCGATCTTCGCAATGGGGAAAACCCGCATTGCGAAGATCGGGTATGTTTCCGTATAGCGATCCCTTTTTCGGGATCGCTATACGGAAACATCGCTATACGGTGCACTCGTTAAGCGAGGCACCACTGTACATGGAAAAATACAGTACATCCTGCTTTTCTTCGCAGAATTCAAGATGGAATGCTATAGCATTCCATCTTGAATTCTGCGAAGAAAAGCAGGATGTACTGTATTTTTCCATGTACAGTGGTGCCTCGCTTAACGAGTGCACCGTATAGCGATGTTTCCGTATAGCGATCCCTTTTTCGGGATCGCTATACGGAAACATCGCTATACGGTGCACTCGTTAAGCGAGGCACCACTGTACATGGAAAAATACAGTAACTGCAATAAAGTAGTATCTACAGTCAATGGATTGTATAACATTAATAATAGAATACTGAGCCTATTACAATGCCTTTCTCTTCACGCAGGCTTTTCCTTAGTGACTGCCGGCCTGAGAGGGTATTTTTTAAATGGATTGTTGTGCTCTGTTGTTTTTAAATGTGTTTTAGTACTGATTTTATTTACCATATTTAATATAATAATTGTTTAATTCCACTTAAAGT